CAGAGGGAGAAGCAGGCTCCTCGCTGAGCAGGGAGCCCGATGCGGGACTTAATCCCGGGACTCCAGGATCATGACCTGAGCTGAAGGCAGTTGCTTAACCAACTGAGCCACCCAGGCGCCCCACAAGGCTCATTCTTATGCAGCTGAGTGGGGGCTGAAAGACTACATGCAGGAGACTTCCAACACAATGTCTTCTAGATTATTTTATTTTATTTTACTTTTTGGCTTTCTCCTTACATTCTGTCTTTGGAATTATAAGCACTGTATCATTTAGTCCTCAGTATTGCTCTGAATGGTGCGTACTGTTATCTTCACCCTACAAATGGAAAAGTTTAAGGATAAGGAACTCGTTCAGTCATGAAGTGGTAGAGCTGGGATTTAAACTTGGATCTGGCCTGATTCAAGAGCCCAGTCTTAATCTCCATGCTCTACATGTCCTCCTGTGTGTGATGGCATATGCCCTGTCTCTCCCGCTATAAGCTTCTTGAGGAAAGGGGACTGTGAGTTCTTCACCCCAGTCTTTTAGGAGCCTTGGCAAGATGCTTGACACACAGTCTGGGCTCAATAAATGCCAGCTGAATTGAATGGAAGTCAAAGTGTGCAAGAGGAATAAAGGTCCTTGGAGTTGAGAAAATCAAGGAACTCTTAAGACCAAGTGACAGAAGGCTCTTCTTGTGCTTGTTGAAGAGCTTGGAAGGGCAGCTAAAAACTGTGATACCAAAATCATTCAGTGGGGAGTGATGCAGATGTTGTAAAAAGCTTGAAGAGGCTAAATGCCCAGGCAGAGCCATGGAATGTTCATGGCTCAGTGTGGTTAAATATTTTAGGATACAGTCTTCTGTTTTGTTGTTCCAGAAACTTACTTTTCTTTCTGTTCTCTAAAATGATTAGGCTTCCATGTTGACATACTAAAGGTTCAAGAAACTATTCAATAACCAAATACCATGTAATTAAACCCAATTAATTGCCTCAACTGGAATTTTCTGTATTTGATTGTAATGGTATTGCTATCTAAGAAAGGCAGAAAGCAGACTAGAAAAGACAGGCATTCACTATAGTGTCTTGTTTGTGGAGAAAAATCCGTGTGAGTAGAAGGGGATAGTCATCCCAAAACAGTAAAAGGGACTGGGAATACCTGTCTAAGCTTGTCCAAAAGAGGGAGTCTGATCTAAGCACACTTGTTCAGACTAGCCTTATAATAAGTGCTCAATAAATGATAGCTATTATTTTTGTTAACATAGGTGAGAATGCTTCCAGGTACCCTTTAACTGAGAACCACTTTTTGAGATTAGGTACCTCCATATTCCATTTCCATGTTTAGCAAACAACTCTCTGAGCATTTGACTTCATACAGAGAGTAATATAGAGGCCAGGAAAAGTGCTGGTCAGCCAGAGTTGGTCTCAGGTCCACTTTACCAGTGTTTCTTCTTGTGAATTAATATTGACAATATTGACATTCTGGAGTGTTGGTTCTGTGTGGTTTAAAGGGAGTCTGCCTCAAAGGACAAAATCCTCCCCCTGTGGCCTCTGGGGGCAAATGACCAGGGTTCAATTCCTGGCTTTCCCTTGCACTATTTCTGTAGCTTTGTGCAAGCTATGCAATCCTTTATGCCCCAGTTTCCCTTATCTGTAAAATAGGAAAAATAATAGTACCTACTTCTGAAAGTAGTTGTAAGAATACAATGAGATAATGCACAGGGCTTGCCACATAGTAACCCTCCATAAATTTTAGCTTTTGAGGTCAGGTTCCCCTAGGACCAAACCCTGGACTGTGGGGATAATAAGGCAAATGCTATCCACTCAATGGGCCTAGCTTCCCAAAGTGCTATCCTTTGCTTGTATATGGATCACCTTGACATTTGAAACAAGCCACTAGTACTCACCTAGTCTTGGGTTTTACATATATTAACTCATTTAATATTGATGGCAACCCCATGGGGTAGATGCTACTATTATCCCCCATTTTACAGATGAGGAAACTGAGGCATGGAGAGGCTAAATTTTTTTTGCCCGAGTGAGTAAATGGTGGCTTTCATTCCAGGAACCACCTTTTATTCACTTGTTAGACTATCTTCTTTCTCACAATCATATCAAAGAGATTGAAAACTCATTTTTTTCATCTCCAACAGTGTTTTAAAGATATAGTTTCTGTTTTCTTATGAGCTTTGACTCCACCCATAAATATATCATGTAGTTATAAAACCGGTGGTCTGCTTTATTTGAAAAAAATCAAATCAAATCAAACATAAGGTTATTCACCACCTATTACGTAGCCGGCATCACAGAACATCCCTGTAATTGTGCATTTCACTTACCATTTTTTCAAGATTGGTCTATCTGCTCTCATGTTTCAAAAAACTAGAAAGTAGAAACAACAAACTTGCTTCATAAAGTTATTAGTGTCTATAAATTTGAATAGGCATGCATTTATTAAGCCCCCTGGGTGTTGGCATCGTACCTGCCGAACATCCTAAGGTAGTAAAACATTTTTGTGCCCTTTTAGATTTTATAAAGAGCCTTTCAGAAGATGCTCACATCACACAATAACTGCAGAGGTGAAGAGAGAAAGAAATCGTCAACTTTTCTCTGCTTTTGCATCTCCTTCCTTAACTCCTGGAAATCACGAACGTTTGTCCAGCGTACCTCAGCCGTTATTTATCGAAGCTTCTCATTACCACAAGGAGTTGGCCCCGAACTTTGTCTAGGAATCTCTCCTCTCTCTGGTGGAGGCTCCCGGATTGGCTGGAATCTGAACATGCGCAGAAGCTCAGCGAACCCAGGGCGGGACGGTGCACTCGCGGGCACTGCCTCCCTTCCCCTGACAACGGGAAGCGGGTGAGCGTCAAGACGCCTGCGCAAACGTGGCCGGGGCGCCGGGGTGGTGGGTTACGCCTGGAGAGCGCATGGGCAGACAAACTGTACGTCCGTTTGTCCGGAGCGGAGGGGAGAGTGGGCGCCATCTTCTTCTAGGCTCACTGAGGGCTCCACCTGTACTGGGCAGGCTGCTGCGACGAGGAGTGCCCCCCGCCCCCGGCCTTGTGTGTCCGACTCGGCAGCAGTGGTGTGTGTTTATTGCCAAGTGCGAAGCAGTTACCCTTGGGGCGTCGGGGTGGGGAGGGGTTGGCGATGGGGACGGAAGAAGAGGGAAAGGCGGGGCCGGCAGCCGCGCCGGGAGCTAGCGTAGCTTCTGCCGTTAGGGCACCCTCATTCCTTGCTAAACACCGACTTTCCCGTCAGCCTCCATGTGGTGTGGTGTGTGCGCTGCCCAGTTTTCTTAAGAGTGAAGATCTCGAAGGATTTCATAGGTATTTTTTTTCTTTGCTATGTCATCGTAGTCAGTGGTGGCAGAAAAGCGTTGAAGGCCCGGCTCGTTAGGCATGAGAGTGGCCAAAGTGTTTGAATTAGGTGTGGGGCAGTTCACCCTGTGGCGAGTTAGGGTGGAATGTTTGCCCTTGGGACGGCGTGACGGAAAGGCATGGAGGTTGGGCGGTCCAGGTTAATTTGAAGGCTGATTTTGGCTGAAGGTCTGGCGACAGCATCGGATCCCACGTAGCAACTTTGGCCTGGCGCGAAAGAAGGAAGCTCTGACCCCTGGGAGTATGGACAAAGGCTTTGGGCTATAGAAGCAATGCCTTCGGATGATCCCCATTTGAGGATGATGGATGTTATGGGAAATCCTGTGCCGAGTGGATTCGTCTTCATTTACAGTTCCTTAAGGACTATGGCTCTGTGTCGTCATGCTTTTGGTTTTTATTTTAACCATCTACATTATAAAAGGATAAAAGGCAGATCTTCATAAAGAATAATTGTGGACTGGGCTAGATTATTTTCTGCAGGAGAAACTTCTGCATTTAGAATTTCGTCATAACTTTGGGTTTTAAGGAATAGTCATTTTCTTTCCCCCACCGTATCTGGAAAATGACTTGTTATTCTCTAGTTAAAATCAGATCTGAGATAATACCTATTTAAATTTTAGTTTCTGGTTTCCCTGTAAGGCTTGATTAGAAGATGCACATTTCGTATTGTTTAGTGATAATGGTGATCAAGTGGGATGAATCCTGGATAAAATCAAAATTATTTAAAATGAAATTAATTAATTTCAGTGACTTGCCCTTAAAGGAGCTTTTTAGGACTCACTTCCATCTTTTCATAGGTTAGAAGTTCTAACAGATCAGGGTCTTTAAATCAACACAGTCACAAAAATACTTGTGTTGCATTCATAAGTAGAAAAAATTTTAAGTGCAGTGTACTTTAGGGTATTTTGTGTATTTTGATTTTTGTGTAATGTTCTAAGAGTAGAATTTCTGGGGAGTTTGCTTAAGGAAAATAACATGGGAACCACAGAAAAAGTGCTCATTTTGAGAACTGGTCTCTTATAGGCGGTTTCCCAGGTATGTCATTGTTGAGAGATAAAATGGTACATTTACCTACCATCTAAAGGGCAGAAAAGTTAAGTGTTAGTTATATGTGGTAAATTAGAAAAAAAATACCATATATTGTCTGTTTGAATTGGAATTCAGATTTGTACTCATGGAACTATTTACAATGCTGTTTGTAAGCAAGGGAGAATAAGAAAATTTTTAAATTTGACATATTCTTGAAACATCCCTAAGTATCTTGTAGATATATTTATGTTCTCAGGATAAATCCCTTTTAAATTTTTGAAAAAGTTTAGAAGAGACAAAATGGCATGTATCTTTCTAAAATATTTTAAAAGTAAAGGAGCTAAGTCAGTTTGCATAGGAAGGAATCTTGAAACTTCAGTGGGGACTATTCCAGAAGCCATTTATAGTTTTTTAAATGTTGGTGTGGATATTGGTTTGTTGAAGGAACCAGGCTTGTACTTATTTTTTATTTTTGGTACTGTGCGGATTTTAATAGACCATTTTTTTAGAGCAGTTTTTTAGGTTTACAGCAGTAAGGAGCAGAAGATACAGAGATTTCCCATATACCCCTGCCCCCACACATGTACCATGTAAATATTTTAATAATAAATGTCATTAATATTTTCAGTATTAATTTGGCATTGATAATTCAGATGTAGAATATGCCAAGTAATTTCTTGATATCTTTGTTAGTTTAGCTTGTAGTTTAAAAAGTTTAATCAGTGGACCATTTTCAAAGGAAAATAAACCTTGCAGACCTCAGTATGTCTTTTTTTTTTTTTAAGATTTTATTTATTTGACAGAGAGAGATAGTGAGAGCAGGAACACAAGCAGGGGGAGTGGGGGAGGGAGAAGCAGGCTTCCTGGCAAGCAGGGAGCCTGATGTGGGGCTCGATCCCAGGACCCTGGGGTTATGACCTGAGCCTAAGGCAGACGCTTAAGGACTGAGCCACCCAGGCGCCCCAAAGAATATGTCTTTAGACAACACTTTGTGGAAGAGTGGTACTTAAGTGTAAATACTGAATTAAAGCAACATTTATTGGCACATTAAAAACAAATTTGTAATTATTAATTTAACAACTCTTAAAAACTTATTCAGTAAGACTACATTAAATATTGTTACTTTGGGTATCTCTGAAAATATTAGATACAAATTTCCTTAAGGAAATACTAAGTTAAGATTTTTCAGCAGTTAACACTGATAATCCCTAAACATTCTAAGTAAATGTGCTTTTATTCTATTTTCTACATGTCATTTGGGTTTTCTCAATGCAGCACAGTTTGAAATGGAATAAACTTGTTAGCATAATAAGATTTTCTATTTGGCTTAAGATGTATTTTAATAGTAATTGTTTTAGCAGTTTAAGATAAGGAGGAGTAGTTGAGATTTTTTTTATTTTAGAGGTATTTTATTTTTTTAAAGATTTTTATTTATTTGAGAGAGAGAGCAGTGGGGAGAGGCAGAGGGAGAGAGAATCCAAGCAGACTATGTGCTGAGCATAGAGCCCAATGAGGGGCTTGATCTCATGACCCTGAGATCATGACCTGAGCCGAAACCAAGAGTCAGATGCTTAACCGACTAAACCACCCAGGCTCCCCAGTTTTAGGGGTATTTTAGTATTTGCCTTAATTATATTAGAATCAGGAAACTTGGTTCCATGTTTGGAAGTGTGAGCTGTATGTGTAGAACTTAAAATTGTATCCAAAGGGTAGCCATTGGTTTGGATCAAAACATTAGTGTCTTGTTCATTTATTGTATCATTTTGAATCATTGCCTTATTAATTTGATTTGGTCTTATGTTTTAAAAGGGAGGAAAATTGCAAGAGAGTTGGACTTACTGAGCTAGGTGTTTGGTCTTTTCATGAGTGGAAGTAATAGGCTTTTGGGGAATTTTTGGTGTTTTTAAATTGTCATTTTACTTGTAGAACAGTTGTCTTTTTCTAAGTGGATGTAAAATTTATATACAGTGAAATGCAGAGACCTTAAGGATAGTATTCATTTAATCATAGTAAGTTTATACACCCATATAACCAACACTCTAATCAAAATGTGTAACATTTCTATCACCCTTTTCCTCGTGCCACTTCCAATCAAGGAGCTGTTTAATTTCCAGAAGTTTTTTGTTTTAAAATAATTTGCAGATGTCTACTTGGAATTTGTACTTCGTTTTTGCTGAAGGATGTTTAATTTCCCCTTGGAACAAAGAAGACCATTTTGTAATGCCCATAGTTGTGGTTCCTATATTGCTTCACTTTTAATAGGTAATTCTGAAGTGAATATCCTTATCTGGCGTTGTTTAAGATCAATTACAGGGTCCGAGGATTAATTATATTTCATTTTCTTTCCACAGTTAAGTTGCTTTTACAGAATTAACAGGTCTCCAAGAAATTTTAAAAAGGTAAGATATCCAGAGCTTAAGGCTTGACAAAAAAAAATGTAAAATAGAATAGGACATGTAGGTACACATGGTTTCTGTACTTTACCTCTGGCCAGTGATGCACTAGTGGTAGACAGTTTATTATCATAAGCAAAAATTATATACTGACCATAGATGGCTTTTCAAATATGTAAAACTCATTGTGGTTGGTAAAATTCTTTAACCCACAAAGCTCTCTCTCATGTTTCAGTAGAAGATATGTTTCTAAGTGAGTCTGAAAATAGTTTGGTCTTGTTGTGAAGCAGTGCTTGGCAGACTTACAAAGAAGATTTGATATTTTTGATGCTCATATTGTATAGGATAGGTGATATGAAATATTTCTTCGAAATAGTTGGTTTATTTGTATGTTTAGATGGGAAAAGGTTTATTCTTTAAGAAATTAGATACAGTCAGTATTTTTTGTGAACTCAAACTTGTTTTCATTTATAAATGCTGAAGAAGGTAGGAACCAAGTAATTATTAAGTTTAATTTGGGATAAGGTACTTCAAAAATAAGACTTGCTATTATGTGTACCTTTCTGTCTGCAGGTCATTATTGCTGTGGTTTGAGCTCAGCATGGCTGTAGTCATCCGTTTACTGGGGCTTCCTTTTATTGCGGGGCCTGTGGATATTCGTCACTTCTTCACGGGATTGACTATTCCTGATGGAGGAGTGCATATAATTGGAGGGGAAATTGGGGAGGCTTTTATTATATTTGCAACAGATGAAGATGCAAGACGTGCCATAAGTCGTTCAGGAGGGTTTATCAAGGATTCATCTGTAGAGCTCTTTCTTAGTAGTAAGGCAGAAATGCAGAAGACTATAGAAATGAGAAGAACTGATCGCATAGGAAGAGAGCGACCAGGATCTGGGGCGTCAGGGGCTGGCAGCTTGTCTAACTTTGTTGAGGCTATTAAAGAAGAAGCAAGTAATTCTGGATATGGCTCTCCAATTAATCAAGATGCTGGGTTTCATACTAATGGTACAGGACATGGTGATTTAAGGCCAAGAAAGACACGGCCATTGAAGGCAGAGAATCCTTACTTGTTTCTGCGAGGTTTGCCTTACTTAGTAAATGAAGATGATGTACGTGTCTTTTTCTCTGGTTTGTGTGTGGATGGCGTAATTTTCTTGAAACATCATGATGGCCGAAATAATGGTGATGCCATAGTAAAATTTGCTTCATGTATTGATGCTTCAGGAGGTCTTAAATGTCATAGAAGTTTTATGGGTTCAAGATTCATAGAAGTAATGCAAGGCTCAGAACAGCAGTGGATTGAGTTTGGTGGTAATGCAATTAAGGAGGTTGACATTCCTATGAGAACTGAAGAACATTCTCCACCAAGAGGAATTAATGATCGACATTTTCGAAAACGATCTCATTCAAAATCTCCCAGAAGAACACGTTCTCGTTCTCCTCTTGGATTTTATGTTCACTTAAAAAATCTATCCCTAAGTATTAATAAGAGAGATTTAAGAAATTTCTTTAGAGATACTGATCTGACTAATGAACAGATTAGATTTTTATATAAAGATGAAAGAAGAACAAGATACGCATTTGTGATGTTCAAAACTCTGAAAGACTATAACACCGCTCTGGGTTTACATAAGACAGTTTTACAGTATCGTCCAGTTCATATTGATCCTGTTTCTAGAAAACAAATGCTGAAGTTCATTGAATGTTATGAAAAGAAAAGACCAGTGTCAATAGAGAAAGAGAGGCTTGGACATATTTCACAAAAATACTCTCAAGAAGGCTACTCTGGCCAGAAACTGTGTATATATATAAGAAATTTTCCTTTTGATGTTACAAAAGTTGAAGTGCAAAAGTTCTTTGCGGACTTCTCTCTTGCAGAGGATGACATTTACTTACTTTATGATGACAAAGGAGTTGGTCTGGGAGAAGCATTGGTGAAATTCAAAACAGAAGAACAGGCCATGAAAGCTGAACGTTTAAACCGACGGAGATTCTTGGGGACAGAGGTATTGTTAAGACTTATATCTGAGGCACAAATGCAGGAGTTTGGTGTAAATTTTTCCTTGATGCCCACTGAGAGAATGCAAGACCATTCACAGTCATGTGATAGAGATGACCATTCCCATTCATTTGACTCAAGTGATCCACCAATATACGCAGTTGGCCCATCTGAAAACTTTAGGCATCAGCAAGAGGACTTGAGGCAACTGGACAATTTCAAGCAAACCCAGGCGGATTTCCGACAGCTTGACAGGAGCCTTCCAGAAGACTTTAGGCATTCCCCAGAGGACTTCAGGCGCTCCCCAGAAGACTTCAGGCGCCCTCGGGAGGAACACTTCAGGCGGCCTCTTGAGGAGGATTTCAGGCGCCCTTGGGAGGAGGATTTCAGGTACCCTCGGGAGGACTTCAGGTACCCTCGGGAGGAGGACTGGAGGCGGCCACCCGAGGAGGATTTCAGACGGCCTCCCAAGGAGGACTTCAGGCGACCCCCCGAGGAGGACTGGAGGCGACCCCCCGAGGAGGACTGGAGGAGGCCCCTGGAGGGAGACTTTAGGCGGCCACCTGAGGAGGATTGGAGGCGGCCTCCTGAGGACGACTTCAGGCGGCTTCCCCAAGGGGAATGGAGACGACCACCCGAGGAGGACTTCAGGCGACCACCCGAGGAGGACTTCAGGCGACCTCCCGAGGAGGACTTCAGGCGGCCCCCTGAGGAGGATTTCAGGCGACTTCCGGAGGAAGACTTCAGGCGACCTCCCGAGGAGGATTTCAGGCGTTCTCCTGAGGAGGATTTCAGGCGTACTCCTGAGGAGGATTTCAGGCGACCGCCCCCGGAACACTTCAGGCGGCCGCCCCCGGAGCACCTCAGGCGGCCGCCCCCGGAGCATTTCAGGCGGCCGCCCCAGGAGCACTTCAGGCGGCCGCCTCAGGAGCACTTCCGCCGGCCACCCCAGGAGCACTTCCGCCGGCCGCCTCAGGAGCATTTCCGGCGGCCACCCCAGGAACATTTCAGGCGCCCCCGAGAGGAAGATTTCAGGCACCCACCGGATGAAGATTTCAGGGGCCCTCCTGATGAAGACTTCAGGCATCCTCCTGACGAGGACTTCAGGAGCCCCCAGGAGGAAGATTTTAGATGCCCTTCTGATGAGGACTTCAGGCGGCTCCCGGAGGAAGACCTCAGGGAACCTCCAGAAGAGGACGCTAGACTTCCTGACAGTTTTAGACCTCCTGCTGAGGAGTTTAGGAACCCACCTGATGACTTTAGAAGTCATCGCCCTTTTGTGAATTTTGGTCGCCCAGAAGGTGGCAAGTTTGATTTTGGAAAGCGCAGTATGGGAAGTTTACCTGAGGGGAGATTTATGCCTGACCCAAAATTAAATTGTAGTTCAGGTAGAGTAACACCTATTAAGATAATGAATCTTCCATTTAAAGCTAATGTTAATGAAATTCTAGACTTTTTCCATGGCTATAGAATCATACCTGATTCAGTTTCAATACAGTATAATGAACAAGGATTACCTACAGGGGAAGCCATTGTTGCTATGATAAACTATAATGAAGCTATGGCTGCTATTAAAGATCTAAATGATAGGCCAGTTGGCCCTCGCAAAGTTAAGTTACTGTTGCTCTAGAGAGCATTTCTAAATTCAGTAACATCCCCACAGTATTGATGCAGTAAAATGCATTTGTTTTTAAGTGTTTATTTTTAATGATCTAATGAAAAACATTTTAATTTGACTTGTGAATAGAACAAATGTAAATATTAGAATGTGAATCTGGTTTTCTTTTGCTTGCAAATTGCCATTCAGTTTTTCTAATTTAAAATTATATATGCCCCCCCCTTTTTTTTTTGGACAGTGGGGGAGAAAATTCCGAGTGCATTAATTTTTGTTGGTATCTTGGGTAAACCTCAAGACTTGTATAGTAGAGCTGTATTTGGGGAAGATAAATTTTATATTCACTTTTGTTTCCAGTCTGTAGTCTACATCTTATACTGTATAAGGAAATGGTCAGTGATTTATTGTTCAGGTTTAGCATTTTTATTGCTAACTGCCTGCAGAATTAATGCCCTCTTCTTTGTCTGAGATATTACTGTGTTAAGCCTCCCGTTAATTATAAATAGTTCAAAATAGACAGACTGTGAATTTGAAGTTTACTTATGTAAAAAGCTTAGGAGATTCTTGAAGTTTCCATGTTCGTAACCGCAAAGTTTTATAAAAATAAAAAAATTGCAACTGAATAGACCAACTAATTAACTTTACTTGTATTTGTATAAAAAGAAAAAAGAATTACAGCTTCTTCTGTGAAGTTTTCAACAGCGACCTTAGTATTTATGATAGGATGGACCAAACATCTATAATAGTAGCATAGAGAGCTATGTTTAGTTCTATGGTTTCCTCCACATTTCATCAACCAAACTGATAAAATTAACTCAAAATACTTAAAAGTTACTAAAAAGTAACTATAGCTACAAAGGACATTCAGACTTCTGCTGGGAAGAATGTGATATATGGATATAGTTTCTTTTTAGGAAGAATTTAGTGATGATTCATTTAACTTGTAGTTTTTATTAGGTTCTCATTTTTAAATTTCAAGACTTTGTATCCAAAGACTCAATAACTAAATATAATCAGACTTCTATGAGATTGAATTTTGACTTCTTTGATGTATTTAGTGTGAGCATTTTGTAAACACTGGATTTGATTTTTTTAATACCCATAATATTAATGGCTAACATTTATTGGGCACTTACTGTGTGCTAGGCAGTAAAAGTGATTTACATGCATAATCTCAATTTAAATATTCCTTAAGAAGTATGGAATATTACTTACGTCTCTTTCAACAAGTGAGATAATGAAGTTTAGAGGTTCAGTAACTTGCCTAAAGTCATAGCTTGTAAATCATGGAGACAGTTTCAACCCAGACAGACCACTGACTCCAGTTGATGCTCTTAACACTTTTGCCTACTAACTTTGTTAAGTGGTACTTCTCATTTTAGTAAGATCATGCTAAAAATACTTTGAAATACTTTCTTCACACATTGCTGCTTTAAAAAGAGCATTAAAAACAAAATTAGTATGCTCATTGTTCATAAAAGACAAATTAACTTTAAAAGTTTTTATATATCCAGGGCTTCTCTTGGATAATAACATTATAAATTGACTTCTAATTAAAAGTTGTTTATCAAATATGATTTGACTTTGGTTGGCCTTTAAGTTTACATAAAACCAGGTTAATTTTCTCAATTCTGTGATCCAGGTTTCCTATATTGAGCAAATAAGAATAAAATTTGAATTTATATATGTTGTCATTTAATAATAGGATATTGCAGAAGTAGAATACTTTGTCAGTACTTAGCCATTTACTACCATTTTGGATGAATCTTCAGTGATTTAAGAAGTCTAAGAGAAACCAATTCAAGTTTCTGTGTGTTTAATTATAGTGAATATAATTGCTAGTAGAATGAGTAAACTGGTAATTTGGCTTGAAAAAGCACATCAGTATGCTCTTTAAACTAGTAAGCTTATAAACAGCCAGGAGAATGATAAATTAATAACCAAACTAAACAAGATGAACAAAATAGGAAGAAATGATATTTGAATGCTCAAAGATTATTTAGATGGTTCATTCGATCAGTTGTCTTGAGGAATGTATGGAAGACTTTAAAACACTTCTCAGATGGGTAGCGGTAAGAGCTAAGATGAAGCCTAAAAGTGAAATACCACATAATGTGGAACTTTTTCTCAGAATGGGCTGGGGTATGATGGTGGTAGTAAATAAGAGGTCAACAATAGTAAACACAAGCTTTGTATTTTGATTGTAAAATTAATGAATTGATAGGAATAGATAACTTTACTCCATAATCATTTAGTTTATTTTTAAAATTTTAAAAATAAAAAGTTAATTATAGAAAACTGGTTTCTACTGAATACAACCATTTTTGCACATTTTTCCCAACTCTGCTTTCAGTGGTATGTTGATAAATTGGCCATGGTAGGAGTTCTTATGCCATGGAAGTTGACAAATGCAACATAACAGGGCATTTTCCATGTTGGAGAGCCAGTTAACCAAGCACAACACCAATTTCAAACACGTAAGTTCTTACACACCCATCAATATAGTTGATCTTGAACGACCTGGGTTTGAACTACCAGTGTCCACTTACATGTAGAATTTTTTCCATAAATACAGTACACTATTTTCTCTTTGATTTTAACAATATTTTGTTTTCTCTAGCTGACTTTATTGTAAGAATACAATATATAATGCATATACAAAATACATGTTGATTAATTGTTATTGGCAAGGCTTTTGATCAGAATTTATGCGGATTTCAACTGCACAGAGGTCAGCATCCCTGACCCTGGCATAGTTCAAGGGTCAACTATATCAGCCAGTTTTGCCTCCTCTCTCCTACTCCCAGATATATCAGGTACACTAGGAGCATACTGGTTCTCTAGTTTAATACCCAGTGGCATTTTAATTATCTTAAAGCCAAACATTTTTGTCAGAGGTATCTGAAAAATATAGTTCATGTCTAGAAAATAAAAATAATCCCATAAACCAAGAGGTAATTAAGAATCATTATAGTGGGAGTACACTTTATCACTTAGAATAAGCAGTGGCTAGAGCAGTGGCTCTTGGTTCACCTATCACCTATTAAGCAGTGACCCCATTACCTCCATCTTTGTATTAAATGTTAGTTATTACTGAGCTGCATTAGATACTATATATTTATGATCTATAATTATGAATTAATGATATCATTTATTCTCAATAACCCTAATAAACTTAAACCTATTTTGGAGATAAGAAATGGAGGCCTATAGGCTAAGTAACTGGTCAGGTTACCTTTTTTTTTTTTTTTTACAAGGAAGCTGAAAGGTTTTTACATTTTTAAAGATGGTTACATTTTTATGTGTATGTGCGTGAGAAAAGCGATAGAAGTTTACTAAGTGAAGATACAGAAAAAGCTCTCAAGTGAGAGGGGTCCCAACAGGGTTGCTGATGAGGGTCTTTAGGGTTGGTCTTTTATAGAAAGCTAACCAGGGAACTTAAATCCTTTTAACATCTCTATTGATAACACCTTCGATGGCTTACTTCCTTTTTAGGTCTCAGTTATTCTTTGTTGGTCACAGGTGATTATCATAAAGACACCCACCCCACCCACCTAGGGCAGGGTGGTCCTCCACCCCACCCCACCCCACCCGCCTAGGGCATAAGTACCTATGTTACTAGCCTTGATTTCGTTTCTCAGCCCACAAATTATAAAAATATTTACTCTAGCCCTTTAAGTTTGCCAACCTAAGTCTGGTCTAAAAGAAACTTAATTTTACATTGCTTAAAGTATTATGTATAGTAATCCTTTTGTCTTTTTTTTTTTTAAGATTTTATTTGCGAGACAGCACCAGCAGGGAGGAAGGGCAGAGAGAGAGGGGAGCAGACTTCCTGCCGTGCAAGGACCCCGATGTGGGACTCGATCCCAGCACCCTGGGATCATGACCTGAGCCTAAGGCAGACAGACGCTTAACCGACTGAGCCACCCAGGCGCCCTCCATGATGTTTTCTTAGGCAACATTCCACCAAATTACAGCTTTCTAAAAGTTGTAATTTTGTGGATAATTCCTTAGTATGATAATCATTTTCATCTTAAAACCAGAATCAGGCTGAGTGTAACTTTCTTTTTGAATCTAAAATTTACACTAAATTTTAATCTAAAATTTAAGACACTGATACCTTAGTGTCCCATTACCTTTAATCAGAAGAAATAACAGTCTTGTTGAAAAGTAAATTATCAAGCAATGAAACTTAAGGTTGTAATAAAAGTGAAAAAAAGGAAAGGAAAAAAAACCCTTGTCTTTTTTTTAAGGCTTTATGGAATAGAATTTGTATTTAATCAGAATGACTAAAGACCCTTTTTTGGCAATGAAAGCAAAAGAAGCAAGTCAAATTGTTAGATCTCTTGTTTTTTTGTCATCTACTTATACTGCAACCACAACTATGTATAGTACATTAATAGGAAATACTTTTGAAATACATAATTTTTTTTTAAATGTAACCTATACAAAAATCACATACTGTTGGATAGGATGTTGAAATGACTGGTGTGTAATATTTTTTAAAACCTTCATTTTTGGTCAGCACAAATTTCCTTTAATTTTCATTTCCAGTAGGACTTCATTTTGAGGTTTAACGTGTATGAAGCCAGTATAAAGTTTTACAGTGTAGTAATTCTGGATTCCAAGTCATTTAAGATGAAACCTGAAAGGTGAAGTTTACTTAAGAAAATTAATTTTCTTCTTCTGTAACATCTAAGTCTTCATCCTCTTCATCATCATCTTCTGCCTGTTGATCCTTTCTTAGTCGACAGGTAGATACCTGTTAAAAGTTAACACATTAAAAAATATATTAACTTAAAATATTTTTACATGCTTGGTATCTTTTTAATATGCTCTTACAGAGAAGGGCACATAGAACATGTATTTCAGGAAGATAATTTCTAGTAATGAGACTTCCCTACGAATTATTGTACTCTAAGGCTGAAAAGAGTCACAGTTTTTTCATTCATTTATCATGTTATTTTTGAGCAAAAATATGAAATTAACCATTAGATTCCAGTTGGATACCAGCATTTTAATAACATAAAATACTTCAGAGAAAAGGTACAGATTCAGGATATTATGGCAAATATATTTTAGGTTAAATAGTTCTTGGGTCACAAAAATAGGCATTTCAATGAGAATCCTCAAAGGGATAACAAAAACTCCCAAGAATATTTCAGCTATGTAGCTGAAATATTAAAATTTAATACTATGATTTTTTTTTTTTTTTTTTAAGATTTTATTTATTTGACAGAGAGAGACACAGCGAGAGAGGGAACACAAGCAGGGAGAGTGGGAGAGGGAGAAGCAGGCTTCCCGCCGAGCAGGGAGCCCGATGTGGGACTCGATCCCAGGACTCTGGGATCATGACCTGAGCCGAAGGCAGACGCTTAACGTCTGAGCCACCCAGGCGCCCCTAATACTATGATTTAAATGGAATGAGTTGAGAATCTGAATTCACTACTTGGCTTTAAGTCCTGACCATTGCCACTTGGGTCGTCTTGCTTCAAACCTTTCTTGAGGGCCATCTGGTAATATCTGGAGACACTGTTGTCACATCTTGGGGGGTGTGTTTGTGTGTGTTACTGGCATCTTGTGGGTAGAGGCTAGTGAGGCTGCTGAACATGTTTAGAATACACAGGATACTACTCCCCATTCCCTTGCCAAATTATCTGGCTCAAAGTCAATAGTGTGGAGGTCAAGAAACCCTGGAATGATGTACTTTTAAAGTACTACACAGATGTTAGCTAATTTTGGTAACATTAGCTCGAAATAGAAACAAACTTTGTATGTACTATGATACTAGCTATATGGAACTTAATGTGTAAGGCACCTTATGCTGGAATGATAAAAATGTAAGTTGGTTGGGGGAGAGAGGCATACATAGAAAGCAGTAAATAAATGAGTAAACAAATGCTTAGAGGAGAACCAAATGAAAATAGAAGGTATTGGGTCACATTTACCTAAAATTTAAATTTTGAAAATATTTTGCTCAATTTTGAATTCTGAATGCTGGGTATGAAAAAGGGTATAGATCTCTAGATCAGAAGTTGGCAAGCTATACCCCATTTTGCCTCCTGTTTATGTAAATAAAGTTTTACTGTAACAGCCAAATTGACTTGTTAATATACTGTTTATGGCTGCCCTTACTTGGGACATAGACCATATGGCCCATTTTTTTCTGTGGCCTCTTAGAGAACAAGGTTGTTCACCCCTCCCAGTTTTAGCCACCAGGTAACTCAGGTTTTCTGGGTGTGGAAGAAATGAGAAAATTGACTCTTACCTAAAGATAATGTACTTCTGTATCTAAGATAATGTTCAGCAAAAGATCTTTTTTAGGTATAATTTTCAGTAAGTGATGATAGTGGAATTTTTAAACCCTAAGCAGTTTGACTTCAGAATCTGTGCTCTTCATATTATACTGCAGAACAAATCTAGATTCGCATTATCTTGTCCTTTCCACTTCTGCTCTCACATGTTCTGCTTTAGAGAGTATTATGTGCTATAGTATACAAGATAAAGAGATAAGAGAGCTGCGCCTAGTGTAATCTTCCATTACTTTATGTAAGAAGGTAGGAGGGTAAGTTATATTAAGTCAGGACTTAAAGGAAACATTTTTAGTACTGAACACCACCAAAGGCAGCTGCTCAAATTCCTTTATATTATGTATGGTTTCTAGCTTACCTGTCCCGTTCCAGATACACACTTAGCTGAGAGTGATCTTTGAAGAGGTGACTTTGAATTTGCTCTTACAATATCTAAACGGGATGCATAATCTGGTGGATACAGAGAATTTCGGAAAACCTGTTGGAATGATAAAGCAACATTATAAAGTAGATATCAAACCCTGGAAATCCAGAAAGCCATATTAAGTTCCTCTTAGTTAAGGTTTTTTTTAGCAACTTAACACATTTCCTCTGCAAAAGCTCATCCACCCACCTCCACCTCCCAGGACAAAATTTCTATTACTCTTAATTAAAAAAAATTAAATACAAAATATATATTTTTAAACATTTATTTGAGAGAGCGCACATACAAGGGAGAGGCGGGAGAGCGAGAATCCCAAGCAGGCTTCATGCCCAGCGAGGAGCCTACTTGGGGCCTGATTTCATGACCCTGAGATCATGACCTGAGCCGAAATCAGGAGTCAGACACTTAACTGAGGCACCCAGATGCCCCAATACAAACAGTATTTTAAGTTGTAAAGATGAAAGCTAAAAAGTTTATTTGAGCCAGGTAAGGTGACTATGGGTCCTCAAACCATCACGTGAGAGCTTTTGCTGAGGAAATGTGTAAGTTGCTACCCTCAAAGAGGATGTTTGCCAGTAGGGAGGCTGCAAGTCAGTCATACCTTTGATTCTTTGTCTTCTGCTTATCTCAACTTTTACCAATTTAACTTGATTGCAGTATTCTGCTAGTATTCACATAAGAGTAAGTTGAAGCCAGTATAATTTATACATTCCAACTTCACTAGAATCTGGAATACCTTTGTTGGGTTTTTTTCCCTAAAGCAACAGTTCCAAATACCACTCTCTTAAGCCTGTCTATATCTTTGTCTTCTCCCATTTCTTTAACATACAAATAGGTAAGGTTATCAGATGTGAATTTCTTCAGCTTCACTCCCTTTTTCCTCAACTCTTCACCCTCTCCCCCAACCCCCCTTTTAAGCAAATGTCATTCTGATTCTTTCCAAGGCGCATATTTCCTATATGCAAAACTTGAAACCATAAAACAAAAGCTTGCTTTCTCCACAGGTTCCTTCCCCCAGCAAACAAGTTCAAGATCAATCTTTTTTTATATTCAACTTCATCTCTATTTGTCAAAAACATACAAGTAGGCTTTCACCTTCCACTGAGATTGCTCCTGCCAGAAACCATCAAGGTCATCTTTCTGTCTTGATCTTTACTGACCTTGTTATGAAACTTCTTTTCCATGCATGCCATCTCTAAACTCTTCATGTGCTAGCTGCCCTACTTCTTCACATCTCCTTTTCTACTGCTTATACCTTGAATATTTTTAAAGGGTTTCCCTTAGGCCGTGTTTTTTTTTTTTTTTTTTACACCTTTTTCTGAAAGATCTTATCTATACAGCGTTTAAAGCCTACCTTTCAAGGAATTCTCTATGGGCTTTCTCCTGATAGCCATACTTAGAGGCCCAACTACCTTCTGGTCTCTTAGACCAACATCGTCTAGTAGAACTTTCTGAGATGATAGAAATCCTTGCTATTTTGTGCTGTCCAAAAGGGCTACATGTGGTTACCAAGCCCTTGAAATGTGGTTCATATGAATGAGGAACTGAATTTTTAACTTTAGCCACATATGCCTAGTGGCTACTGTGTTGGACATTGTAGTTCTACATTTCACCTTTACAATGAACGATGTTACCATACATTTAGTAGACCAAACTAAAACCCTGGCGATTGCCCCTCAATTTCTCATCTGAGGTACTTCCATTTTAATTTATTGACTCTACACATTTTTCTTTATAGTTTACTTAGAATTAGCTTACTGAAGACCAAAATATATTATTAAAAAACTTTCTGGCTCCTGACTACCCAGGATCCAAATTCCTTAGGTGACCTGCAAGGCTTAAGATGACTCAAACCTACCTATCACTCTTCACTTCTAGCCTATGTACCTATATGTAGAACATATTCTATTCTGCCTTTGCAATACTGATTCCTTAGAATTCCCCAGAATTCCAGCAAACTCATCATTCAAGAGCCAAGTCAAATACCATCTTCCGCTTTCTCCTATTCTCTAGTCAATTTCTCCTAGTGTATTCTCTAGCTCCTATTGTTCATACCCTCAATACAGCTTTCATTTCATTGTTCTGTAATTACATATCTCTCCTACTAGCTTTAAGTTCCTCTAGAGCAAGGAGCCCTGTTTTATCTTTTCAACTCCTTCCAGCTTAAGACAGTAACATGATAAATGAATGATGTTAACATGACCTTAATCCCCATGTTTTTTTTGGGGAAAAAAAAAACCTAAGGATGTCTCTACACATTTCTTTAAACTTTAGAGAGGTGCAAACACCAAAGAAATTGATGAGACTTAGACCCACAGGTGAGACTTGTGTTTTAGGGCACTTCAGGCATGCTAATTAGATTATTTAACATGTTACTGAGGACTCAATATTATGTTTTGGTGCCAGATATGGAACACTGGCACCCTGGTATTATATAAAAACTAGATGACTCATTAATCAACTGTTACTTGGAAAGGATATATTTTTGTTAGAACAACATTCCTTTTTTAACTGTTCTAGCAAAGATGAAGTTAAAAGTGGGAAATGGAAGACAGTATACACCCATGAGATAAAAGTCTAAACCAGTTAAATACTAAAATTAATCTCAATGCAAAACAACAGATTTACAGGAATATTTATTGGCAATAATGCTTTTCCCAGTATGGTCCAAGATCTCTTCTAGGAGTGAGTCTCAAGATGTTCTGAAGTGATTGCACAGAGATGATCTTTTGAAGGGGAAATGAGCCTGACAATGCTTTTTTATGTGAAGAACAAATAAGGTAAGATGGTCTGTAATATAACTAGATGCCTAACTGCAAAAAAATTAGCTGCTGCCAGATTAAGTCTCAGCAGTTCTTGTAAAGCATGGACCACCTAAGAAAAATAGCAAGTTCTTTCTCTGTTTCTCTCTACATATTTTCTCTACTTACTTCCAAGAAACCCTGTATTTAAAGGATCCTTTTTCTTCTTGGTACCTGTTTGGTATCATTTTACTTCCCCTGGTCTCACAGCTGTCCCTAGACTCTTCTCCTCTCCTCTCCACGCCAATCTCTATAGGCATAATAGTAACAGTTTATGCCTATAGTTTGTTATGCTTCAGGATCTTTGTGTATCTATCTGTATCCTTTGCCTGAAAGGGTTGCCAGGGGTTCTCCTACACATCCCTCAAACTTCTCATTGAGAAATCATTCTTTGATTTCTCCAGACTATTTAGAATCCTCCATCACATATACTTACAGCACACTATATTTTTTATGAGACTGGTCATATTATAAAACTTAAATAGTTTGTGCTTCACAGATACTCTGTTTTTTACAAACTGAAGGTTTGTGGCAACCCTGCTTCAAGCAAGTCTGTCGGTGCCATTTTCCCAACAGCATTTGCTCACTTCGTGTCTCTGTGTCACATTTTGGTAACTACTGCAATAGTTTAAACTTTTTCATTATTATTATTACTATATATATGTCATGGTGACCTGTGATCAGTGATTATGACTCACTGAAAGCTCAGATGATGGTTAGCATTTTTTAGCAATAAAATATTTAATTCAGGTATGTACGCTTTTTTAAAGATCTTATGCTATTGCATACTTAAGAGACTATAGTATACAACATTGTATATTAACTCTACGGGAATTAAAAACTTAAAAAAACAGACTATAGTATAGTGTAAACATAACTTTTATATGCACTGGGAAACTAAAAAATTCATTTGACTTGCTTTGTTGTGATATTCCTTTTGCAGAGTTCTGGACTGCTGCAATCTGAGGTATGCCTGTTAGTGTCTGAACTCCATGGTAGATTTTTAAGTTTTTGCTTTGACAACTCAGACCATTTCTAACTTATAATGCTAAATCCTCAGAACTTCAAATGCTGCCTGGCATATAACAGGTGCTCAACAAACAGTTGTTGAAGGAACATTTAATGAGGTAAATACTGTATCTCCATTTTAGGGATAAGGAAGCTGAAGTATGAAGAACTTGTTCAATACTGCCCCACTACAAAGTGGGGAAGTTGATACTTTGTCAAAAACTTATCTGCCACACAGCCCTGAGATCTTTAGTTTTTATGAATCTCTCCTCTCACGAGCTACCTAGCTAGCTGATTAAGAATAGTAGTAAGAGAAGTGGTGTGACAAAAAACCTAACTAGGACCTCTGGAATGAGAAGGAAAATCTTAGGGTCCAAAAGAATTGAAGGAACTTTAGTGACCATTAACAAATGGCATCTCAAGGGCATTTTAGAAAAAAGAAGAATGAAAATACTTGTAAAGAGGATTCCAGTCTTGTAGGAAAAGTGGGGGATCAATTCTGAACCTGCCACTCCATGCAGTGTTGTTTCTTGTAGGGAATGGTGCACATTACTCATCAAGAAGCACACTTTTCTTCGCAGGATAGAGAGGATGCAAACACAGTGTCAGTAGTCAGACTTCTGGGTTTGGCTCCCAGCTATATTACTTACTAGTTAGGGGACTCTCTGGGAAGTTTCTTAACCTCATTCTGCCTCAGTTTTCTCTTCCATAGAAATGAGGACAGTAAGTACTTCTATCAAAGTTGATGGGAGAATTAAAATATAATTAAAATGCATAGATCAGTAGCTGTCCAAAGTAATCATTTTATAAACATTTGCTATTTTATTATTTTACAAATGACACATATAAGCTTGATCTATTTTTTAAAAAAATAGGACATGAAAGGAGTGAAAATTAAGAGATCTTAGCTTTAGTATTTGGAAGGACTGGACCCTTAGGAAGCCATCTATTGATAAACAATAAACAGAAATATCATATATGCATAACTGACATAAAACTGGGAGATGAGATTTTGGCACTGGAAAACCTATACACACATATTAAAACATGTGCCTTTCTTCATTTTAGTCAAGCTGTAATCTGATTTTACTGACTTAAGTTTCCTGGAACCAATGGAGTAGTGAGAAGAGAAGGCCCAGGTGTGCTTTATGATGGACAGTTAATAAACAACTCGGGGAATCTTCACAATTGTCAAATGGCAGACATTCCCAAATTCTATCACTTAGTAATACAGAATTCTGGCTATATCTTGAAACTACCTGGCCTTTTTCACTTCTACTACAGAGATAAAATGTGGACAAAGTATATCTCCAATATTTTACCTGTTTTAGCAAAAATACTTTTCTGCCTTTTTTCTTCCCTTTTAGAAGATAGGAGGGTAGGATATTTACTCTTCAGATGTGCTTGCTGAAGCCAGGCTTAGATATTTAAATGCTCTAACATTAGTTGGCCAATTGGATTTGCACTGAACTCTCAGTACAAAGCCAGCCTTATTATAAATCTACATTTATTTCATAGCATACTGATTAAGAATCCTGATTCTGCTATTTATAGCTAAGTGTCTATGGTCAAGTTAAGTTACTTAAAGCCTCTAAACCTGTTTTTGTAGCTGTAAAATGAGAATAACAACAGCACCTACCTTATTATAGGATTGTGTGAGGAGTAAATGAGAAAATTCATGTGAAGCTTTGGGTATTCTACATAGCATAAAGCACTCAAATGTTAGCACAAATCATTGTTACTGTTAGTATACTTAAGGGACTTACATCACTAGTCAAAATGATACATTGTTTCACATAATGGCCTTATTAACTAGCTATTAATAAATTAACTCTTGGAACTTTACCATGGTTAATTTGAAAAGTTAAAAACACATACTTAGAAAATCATAAAAGTTCAGCTATTTGGGACTTCACACAGTAAGATAAACCACTGTAGTGCTCGAAGTTATTTTACTTTAAGTTATTTACTTTAAGTTATTTTTACCCACACAACCTAATGCTTTCTTTTAAATATGTCCATCTTAATAGAAGAACTGAACTTGGATAGACATAGTCCTACCTCCAAATCTTCTTCTTCATCAATCTTTTGTATGTTTTGGTAGGCAGCAGTGTAGACCTCTAAAGCTTTGCCATGAAATAACATTTCAATAGTGATAAATTCTGAAAATATAGTCTAAAAAAAAAAAACCAAAGATTTGAATTTAAACAATCATATGAATTTGTGAATTTAGTAAATTTATTCCTTACTATAGTCTTGGCATTTTATGAAATACAAAGGTATCTCTTTTTCCACAGGGCAAATGAAGTACAAAAGATAACGGGAATAAAAATAGTTGGAAAGACCTTTTATAGCACAACCTTGGAAATTATACAAAATATTTCCTATCTGACCATTTACTTCCCTCTTATTTTTTAAGTTAGTTTTTGTATACCTTGTAATTGACATTTGTGATAAAAAAAGATCTGACTAAAATGTGTATACCATTATGTACTACTCTGTCACCATATGTTTAGAAGTATTAGATAAAGCAGGTCAGTTCTAAACCTGGTATTTTGTAATTCCAACTGATGTTTAAACAATAGAATGTTTTTTAGACAGGAATTATATCCCATCATATTTCTATGTGTTCTTGTATTCTCTAACCACAAAAGAATTACTTGGTAATTATATTGTTACCACTGATAATAGCATCATGGATTTGCACAGAGCCTTCCAGTTTACGAATATATAACTTGCCTAGTGTTGCTCACAGCTAGAATGTTGAAACTTGGGTCTGATTCTTCAAAGGTTACAGTTCTTGCTTACTGTACTGTGCTATTCTTGCTAGAATCAATCATTTCTTTCACAGATAAACTGCATGTAAACCCTATGAACTTGATAACTTATGACAAGGAAGATGATGCACTAAGAGAATGAATGAAGATGTACATGTTGATCTAAGCAGGGGTGAGATAGTCGGTAGGTAAGGAAAGGATACAAACCAGACAAGTTTTCAATAAAATAGGATCTTATCCTTTTGTTATCTTGTCCCTTATCAAAATAAAAAATCAGGGCATTAAAGTAGAAGTGGGCAGAATAAGAATAAGGTAGAAAATACTCAAGCATTGTCCTTAAAGGGGCAAGAGAGAAGAGATGGGTTATAGAAGACAAGAGTCAAATATCCATTTCTCTTCATTCCTGCTCTCCTGTGTTTACTACCCAGATAGGAATGGTCCTGTACTTTGGAAGACAGTGTTAGTTATCCCTTAGTGTCCTTTAATTCCCCCCACCCCCATCTCCATTCTTTCTTAAGGATTAGAAGAATATTTAAGGGAGTACTAATAGGTTTCTGATCACTACTCAATGTAAACAGATCTGTAGCAGAAAAGTATCTCTTCTGGTCTGCAAAGATTGGGCTCTGGGGTAAGACACAACTATGACTCAACAGTGACCCTTACTGTCAATTCCTGTAGGCCACAGAGGATTCTGGCATACTGCAGTGGCAACTAATAAGCAGCATTATGCCCAAGAATCTCCAGATATCCAGGAAATACCTTCGAGGTGAATTGGCTTGTGATTAGGACTGGGACTTAGAGACTCACTTAGTTGTCAGTCTTCCTAAGGTAGCTGCCTAGCTAGAAAGGAGTCGAGTGCCCTTTAGGAGTGTGGAAACTCCTAGAGGGAAAACAGCAGAACTAGGAGCCAATGATAAGCCAAAATACTGAAGACTCCTACTTGGTTCTTGGTCTGCAGCTCATTTTAGGTAATGGGAACAATCAAGCACAGGCTTACATTTTTCCTTCTGAATCTTAAATTTAGAGACTTTCTACATTTAGTAAATAAAGAACTATACAAAAAACTATAGACATAGTTTGACTTTATTTTTATTCAAGGCTGGAACAAAATTTTTTCATTTACTTAGGCTTAGAATTATACAATAAACCCTTAAACTTGTTTCAGGTAAGTACAGAGGGAGGTTGGAGAAGCACATTTTACAGTGTTACATAGTCAACTATGTTTTAGTTTTTCTTGGATATTTACAGACCATCTGTTTACTTACGTGGATAGAGAAGAGAAGGTGTTTACCTTATGCTATAAAAGTACCTGAGAAATAAAATAGCCTCAAATAAGGGATTAAGCTTAATCGATTAACTCAAGTGAGTTAGGTGTTACTCCTATTTTTAAATATTTCCACAAATGACATTCTAAATCTTTAATAGATACACTATTTAGTAACTAGTGAAATCCAAACATTTACAACCTTATTACACCTAAATCTGTAGATTTAGGCTTAATTCAGTTCTATTCCACTGTGGTAATTTTGTGGAATATGTGAATATTTTAAAATATTTTTCAAATATGTGAATATAGTTATTAAATTTCTCATAGTCAAAATCTCTGTGTCATCTCTGAACTAACAGTTATTTAATACTAGCATTTTATAGGATTTATATTCCCCTTAGCACATAAGCCCTGAAAAATACGTAGATATGTCTGTCAATACATTATTTTCTTTATTCATATCCTCTAACTAGAGAAACTACTGCATTCTCATTTTAAGACACTGATCAACTTTTAGTCTGCTACCATTTTCCAATTTCAAAATTTAGCTTTAATTAGTGATAAGTACTTTACAAATTATCTTTATAAATGGCTATTATTTACTACTTAGAAGGTGGGGGGAAATCACTCTCAAGTTTTGTGATACTTTGGTTTAATCTTCTATGGTTTGAACTTTTATTTCTTGACAAAACCTGTATTATAACACCTAAATAAGAGGAGAATGGCTCTACTGATTTTTTATACTGTTTATTTTTCTGTCAGAAACAGTAGTGGGAAATCACTACTGGTACTGGTAACCTAGTATCCCAGACTTGGAATTTTTGACCCAAGAGTCGATGAAGCCTAAAGATTATCACAGAGGAGAGTTATATCTCTGAGTATAGTCAGAAAAGAATACTGCCAATCATACTCTTTCTAGTTAGGATTTCATAAAATATCTGAAAATAGGCAGAAGGAGAATAATAGCAAGGAACATTAAAAGTCAGATGACAACTAATGTAAGAAAGAATATAAAAAGCATGTTTTTGAAATAAAATATTTTCAGTGAATGACCAGAAGGGTGGTAGAACTTTCTAGGAACCAATCATAATTAGAAATAATTTTCCTCAAATAAATACAGCTAACTTTCAGTGATCTCATATAATCTTATCTGGAATGGGTCAGTATGATCAGGGACAGAAGCATTAATGATTTCTTTTTTTTCCCCTTTTCAATTTTATTTTGTGTGACCAGAAGGCAATTTGGGCACATACTTAATTTTTATTGGTGGGGGATGGGGGAGCTAATCTGAAATTCTTACCTGTTGGAAGTATTCTGTAAAGCAGGAGAGTATAGTAGTTAAGAATATAGGCTCTGGATTAAGATAAATCTGGGTTCCAATCATGACAAACATAAGAGCTATATAATATTAAGCAGTTTATATAATATGTTCTTTTCCCTAGTTTTTCTCATCCTTACAATGAGGATAACAACAGTACCAACCTCAGAGGTTTTGGGGTTAAGGACTAAATCAGATAATCCAAGAAAAAGTACAGTATGGTAACTGGTTTAGAATAAGTGCTCAAAACAAGTTAGCTATTTTTATTACTCAAGAAGTACACTTGCTAAGTTAGAAAATGTTCCTTTTCCTAATATTAAAGCCTCCATAGGATTTAATTAGCAAGTAAGACTTCTAACCAAAAAGTCATAAAAGGTCTAACATTTTGGCAAGTAAAGGGGAAATAATGGTTCTCCAGAGTAGAGGCTATTCAATAAATGATGTCAAGAGAAATTTTATCTACTTGAAAAGAATGAAATTAGATATCTACCTCATACCATATGCAAAACACAACTACCAGATAAAATGCTTAAATATTTAAAACTTTTTTAGATATCACAAATACTAGAAGAAAATAGAAGCAAGTATTTATACAAACTTAAGGATGAAAACAACCTTTGTAAGCATGACACCAAGTCAGAAACCAAAAAGGAGAAGACCAACAGATCTGGCAACAAAAATAAAACTTTAAGGCAAAAACACACCATAAACAAAATGGGAAAATACATTTGCAACGTATCTTCTCTATAATATAAGGGGTTAATTTTCTCAATATAAAGACTTTACAATTCATATGAAAAATACCAATATTCAATAAAAATATAGGCTAAGGAAAAATGTGGGTAATTTACTAAAGAAGAAATGTGTCATTAAATATATGAAAATATTCCATCTTAGTAGTAACTGCAAATTAAGATGACACTGATTCCTTCACCTGTCAGATTAGTTATTATTAAAAATACTGCTACTCTTCATTAGTACACTGGGTTACTCATGCAAGGTTTTGTAGAAACGCTAGTTAAAATTTTGTGGACATAAGTTTAAAGCTTTGTGGACAGACGGTATCAAAATTTAAAGGGTGCATGCTCTTTGAATCAGAAATGCCACTCTGGTAATTTATCTGAAAAGAATAACTGGATCAACAAAAAGGCCAATGTTTAATGATGCAATGAGATTTATAATTGCAAAAGTAACCTAGATATCCACCAATAAGGACTGGTTAGATAAAGTAATATATCCATAGGAAAATACTATGAGGATACCAAAAAGGATGATATGCATCTCTGTTTCTTAGCAAATATGCCCATGATATATATTAAATTTTAAAAAGTGATGCTACATACAGTGTGGTTCACTTAAATATAGCTCTATGTACAGGGGAAATGCTATCATGCTCCTCATAAGGATGTGAGGAGTAAATGAGTTTATCCACATAAAATGCATATAATATGTGACATAGTCAATACCTAAGAAAATTTGTTATCATATCTATTGTGTATATGTGCATAGAAAAAAAACTGGAATGATATAAACCAGAATGCTAACTGATTATTTCTGAGTAGTAGGATTATTACATTTTTCTCAATAATTTTGTGAAAAAAATTTATCGTGATTTTTATTTAGTTGTAAGAAAAATAAAGCATTTAAAAATTAAATTTAGAAGATGTTTCTTGCTCACGTTAGCTACTTTGCCACATACTGCATTCCTGTCCCTCTCTGTTCTAGGAGTCACCCCTGGTCAAGATCTTTTCTATAGATCTGAAATTCCCTTGACATTCACCCTATAACTGATGACTTTTCCGATTACATGGGAAGCAAATGGGACTGTGATTTTTTTTTAAGAGAGAGAGGAGGAGGAATGAGCAGGGGGAGGGGCAGAGAGGGAGAGAGAGAATTTTTAGCAGGCTCTATGCCCAGCATGGAGCCCAGTGTGGGGCTCCATCTCCTGATCCTGGGATCATGACATAAGCCAAAATCAAGAGTCGGGATTTTTAACTGCTTAATGGACTAAGCCACTCAGGCACCCCAGGGACTGTGATTTTTCATTCACATTGTGTACAATAAGTTCCATAACAACTTTTCTCAGAAAGACAAATTTTTTGCAAGGTTCCTATGAAAAGTATCTAAAAATTGTGCTACCTTGCTGATTAATGCTGCTACCAAAATTCAGATGGACTTGTAAATTAAACCCACCTCGAACACAGTAGTACAGTTACCAGCAGTGCTCACTCATTCTGCCCCCTGGGAGGTTAAGGAGCCAGAAGCTCTGTCCCCATCTGAAGCAGTAGCCTGATAACAGGTAAGAATAAGAATGTTCTGATGTTTCTCTCAAAATTATGAGTGGCATCAACGATTTTTACTTTTCTAAGAATTTTTCTCATAAACAGAAATGTGAGACATGCTTAACATCAACAAAGGGGGGCAATAATGTAACTCTTTTTGACTTGTCTTTGAGGCTTCTGGTATGGGATTTGTGCATCCCTCTTCATCATAAAAGAGCTCAAATGAGGCCTGACTTGGAAAAGAAACAATTTGATACTGAGGAGGAAAGATGTATAAAAGGGGAATTCAGAACCATAACAGAGTTCAATATCAACCTCTGGAAACCATTTCTGGAAGTTTGCTAGATCATGGGGGTCTGCATTTAAAGTGTAGGTCATCACAGATGACATAATCTTGTAAGTAGAAAATCCTAAGCGATCTACTAAAAAACTATCGGTGCTAATAAATGAGTTCTGCAAGGTTGCAGAATATAAGATCAGTGTGCAAACATAAATTATTTGTGTGCATTTGCAATGAACAATCCAAAAATGAAATTAAATAAACAGATCCATTTACAATAGCATCAAGAATTACAAAATACTTAGGAAAAAGTTTAAGAAAAGAAGCACAAAACTTATACTTTGAAAACTACAAACACAGTTAAAAATACATTAAGGAATATTTAAATAAATGGAAAAATATCCCATGTTCATGGATTGGAAAAATTAATTTTAAGACAGCAGTACTCCCCAAACTGATTTACAGATTTGATGCAATCCCTACCAGAATCCCACTTGACTTCTTTATACAAACTGACAAGCTGATTCTAAAATTCATACAGAATTATAACAGATCCAGAATAGCAAAACAATCTTAAAAAAGAACAAAGGAGACCTCATACACCCTGATTTTAAAATTCATATAAAGCAATGCTAATGAAGATAGTATGGTACTGGCATAAGGAGAGACCTATAGATCAATGAAAGACAAAGTCCAGAAATAAAACCATTTCAACAAGAGTTCCAAGACTATTCAATGGGAAAGAATAGCTTTTTCAAAAATCGTGCTTGGGCAACTGGACAGTCACATGCAAAAAGATGAAGTTTAACCTTCAGTTCACACCATACATAAAACTTAACTCAAATGGATCAAAGGCTTAATTGAACCATGAAAACCATACAACTATTAGAAGAAAGCAGATAAATCTTCAAGATCTCAGATTTGGCAATGGATTGATAGATATGACAAAACATAAGCCACAACAACAAAAAATACATTGGACTTCATCAAAATTACAAATTTTCTGCTTCAAGGAACACCAAGATATTGAAAAGAACCCTAAGAATGGGAGAAAATAATTTCAAATCATAGATCTGAAAAGGGACTTGTATCCAGAACAGATAAAGAACTTTTACCACTCAATAATAAAGACAACCCAATTAAAATATGGGCAAAGGATCTGAATAGACATTTCTTCAAGGAAGATATACAAATGGCCAATAAGCATTAGTAGGGAAATGCAACTGAAAACCACAATGAGATACCATTTCACACCTACTAGGATGGCTGTACTGAAAAAGTCTGATGAACAGCAAGTACTGGTGAGGATGCAGAAAAATCTGAACCCTCATATTACTGGTGGGAATGTACAATGGTGCAGGAAGTTTCTCAAATGATTAAAGATAGGGTTACCATATGATCCAGCAATTTAATTAGATATATATGTAAGAAAAATTAAAATATATGTCCATACAAAAACTTGTACATGAATGTATCATTAATCAAAATAGCCCAAAGGTGGGCGCCTGGGTGGCTCAGTTGGTTAAGCGACTGCCTTAGGCTCAGGTCATGATCCTGGAGTCCCTGGATCGAGTCCCGCATCGGGCTCCCTGCTCGGCAGGGAGTCTGCTTCTCCCTCTGACCCTCCCCCGTCTCATGTGCTCTCTCTCATTCTCTTTCTCTCAAATAAATAAATAAAATGTTTAAAAAAAAAAAATAGCCCAAAGGTAGAAACAACCCAAATGTCCATCAACTGATGAATGGATAAACAAAATGTGGTTATATCCATATAATGGAATATTTGGCCATAAAAAGGAATGAATTACACTGATAGGATACATGCTATGATATGAAAACATGTATATAGCTAATATACATATAACATATATATATATATATATATAGCTAATAATGAAAGCATGCTAAGTGAAAGAAGCCAGTTATAAAAACCATGTTATGATTCCATTCACATGAAATGGCCAGAATAGCCAAATCCATAGAGACTTCAGATTAGTGGTGGTTACTTAGGGCTGGGGTGGGGATGGGAGGGTTGGGGTGTGGGAAGCAGCAAAGTACTAGGTCTTACTTTGAGGTGATAACAGTGTTCTAAAATTGAGTGGTAATGGCTGCACATATTGGAACACACTAAAAACCACTGAGTTGTACATTTTAAATGGGTGAATTGTATGGTGTATGAATTCTATCTCAATTTATTAAAAAGTAGGTTTCTTCTTGTCTTACATTTTTGGTGACCACCAAGAGACTTCCTTCCAGGGGCATAATACCGTAGGCAAAGAGAAAAGCTTGAAAGCCCCTTTCTTTGTGCACCCTCCACTCTGCAGTCCCTCTATGTCCTAATGCTTCAGGAATTGTAGGAATTGCAGTTGGGAATTCTGCACTCACTCACTCTCTGCCCATTTTGTAACTGGTGGTTGCTCAGGGAATTAAAAACATCTGTAGAGGTAGTCTGAACCTGAAGTGAGCCCAAAGATCAGAGACACAGCCTGCCACGTGTAAAAGAAAATTTTGCGGGCATGAGGAGCAGTGGTGGATCCACGTGAGGAATCAGACTGCCACCACTAACGAAGCCCTTAGGTGGCAATGGAATCAAGCATACCTCACAAGTCTCTATTCTCATCGTTCAGGTTAAAGCTAATTATTTTAATAACGTTCCTTTCCCCCTCAATTTAAGAGATGATGTCAGCAAGTGTAAAACATTATATCCCACCCACACTCTCTCACCTCAGTAAATGGAGTTTGTCTCAGGGCAGCTTTCTGAGATGCTCTTCATGCATTACACAGCAGAGTGCAAAGTGAATTGAGAGGCTTTAAAAACAGGTTTTTGGTCTTCAGGACCAAACTAGAGACCTTTGAGCATGGCTATCAGAAAAATCAAAGTTCTGAAATTGTTTGAAACTATGATGGGGGCGGTGGGGAAGGTGCAAATGAATGTTAATTCATGGACTTTAAAAAGGAATGATGATTATTAAGTGGCATATGGTGCTTATTTTATTGATAAGAACATAACTTTTGAAAGCAGGATGTTTTCTTTGTTAATAGTTATAAAATGACAAAAATATTTTTCTTTAAAGCTTGATCCTGGAAAATTTGCAGTGAGCCAAAGCACATCCTAGATTACTTGTTTTAAAGGACTTACTATGGTCACAAGCAATCCTCCAAATCTGTCCAGGTGCCTATGAAAAAGTCACTGAAGACCTTCTGAAGTCCATGATCCCAAGGGTGTCAAATCTACTGGCTTTTTACAATAAAATAAGGCAATTCTTGTGATACCATATCATGGTGGATGCAACTTTATGTGGTTGGCTACTCTCACCTATTCATTTATTTGATAAGATGTAGTTACTAGAGAGTACTTAATGAGAGTGTATTATAATGGAAAGCACAGATTTTTAAAATACATAATTGTTTATAGTTCAGATTTTTGGCTATGATACTTTGGGTAAGTTACTTTATATCTCTGCTTAAATTTCATAAGATATGGATAACACCACCTCATTCTTATGAGGTTGCTATAAGATTAAAAGATAATACATATTTGGTGCCTGTAATAGCACTGGATGCACAAGAACATAATAAATGTTAGTTTCCTTTGATTAAATAGTACTTGTGATAACAAGCTGAGTATCTGAGGAAATGGGAAAATAACATTTCATATTTCTTATTTATAGTATCTTTTTCGTATAGACTATGGGCTAAAAAAATTAGTAATTTAAATTTTTTACACATTTAAATGAAACAATAACATTAGAAAACATGTTTTGAACTTTAAGTTACTTTATTACCTTTATATCCTTTATTTTCTGCTTTTCAAAATTGTCAATAGTTTCCTCCAGATGACGAGTTGTTCGGGTAGCATCCATTGTAGCTCTCTGCAATTCAGTTTCTGCCTGCAAAAGAATTCCCCAACCAAAGATAAAAAAAAATTCAAGTTAGAATCCATTCAACTGAGTCTATTTGTAAATGTTACCATTGCACTACTGGCTTTTTGGCATAACAACTGTAAATTGTTCAATAATATATTTTACCATATAAAATAAGATGATTTATATAATAAGCACGTGCAGAATAAAGAACTTTAAATCTATTAAGTGACATGATTCCTGACCTCACATGAAAGAAACCAAAACTCCTTCCCTTTCTTCCTACAAAACCATTTTTTTCCCTATATTACCTTGGATTATTTACTGTAAAACAATTTTCTATATTTTCTACTGCTTTCACCTATTTCACTGTCTATGTCATTTATCATTCTATTCTTTTTCTTCTCATTCTTTCCCCTTTAACGCTTTCTCTCCAAAAAAGGACCCATGACTTAAGTAATTTTCTAGTTCTCCAAATGCATTAAATGTTTCTAATCTTATAATATCCTAATCAGATATGGCAGAATATATACTATAAATATTTATTTCAGCATGGGGTATATTTGTATATTCTTCTTAGAAGCTAACAATATGACACTGTTACCATTTAGTTAGTGCTTAGTACAAAAGATATATATACCGGTAACAAATTAGATGACAACTCTAATGCTTTGCTTCATATATTGTAATGACAACACTCATACTACTGTATAATCAAGTGGTAGCCAGCAGCCACATGTGGCTATTTACATTAAGATTAAATGAAAATTTAAAAACTATGTCCTCATTTACTCTAATTGCATTTCAAGAGCTCAATAGCCATATATTGCTAGTGGCTACAGTAAAGGGCAGAACATTTCCAATCTACTCATGTATTTCTCTTAAAAAAGCATCTCTTACTTTAGAACAGTTGTTGCCCAAAAATATTTAAAATATTTTGTTAAACAGTAGAGGTTTTAAAAAACATAGCCTAATTTTCTGATTAAATTCTTTCTAATAGTTTTGTTTCCTATACTAATGTAGTATATTTACTCAAAAGTATCAAATATCATCCTTTAATAATTAATCCATGGGAAAAATGTGCATTTGTCATCAAAGTTTAGTGACACATATCATTCTGACATTTAGCCCTTGCTTTCAAGAAAAGATATAAATTGAAATAAGTAAAAGAGTTTACTATAAGGATCCATTTCTTGACACACCACTTTATTACCCACCTGTGACTGAAATTTTTCATAAAGGAAAAAATACATTTCAAAGAAAACAATTTTTTAAAGTAAATTAAAATCATATGCTCACAGAATTATATAATCTTACAATTATACATTAATTATAACTTCATAGTGATTATGTACTCTTACATTTACATTAACTCAAATGAACGATTTTAAGATACTAAGTGTAAAAGAATATTTTTATATGTATGTGTGTGTACATTTGCCATATAGGGTGTAAAGTTTTTTAAAACCTATATATAAACTTTCAACTTTTTTTTTTTTAAAGATTTTATTTATTTGACAGAGACAGAGACAGCAAGAGCAGGAACACAAGCAGGGGGAGTGGGAGAGGGAGAAGCAGGCTCCCCTCTGAGCAGGGAGCCCCATGTGGGACTTGACCTGAGCCGAAGGCAGCTGCCTAACAACTGAGCCACCCAGGTGCCCCTAAACTTTTAACTTTTAATCATACCCAGTAATCAAAAATAATTTTCTATATTGCTGGGCTTGAGATTTTTAAAAATATACCTTCATCACAGGAAATTCAAAAGTAAAATAGAGCTCCTTTATAGATTCGTATGAAAAATTTCTAACAGTTATTTGATGCACGTTAACCTACTAATGAGAATACGCAAGCAGACTAACTTCTTAATACTATTACATGTGACTCATATAGTTCTTCACTTGTGACTACTTCCTTTTGACTTATGTCTTTGCCCTCCCCATTTTATTGATAAAAGAAACAGTTTTAAAATTTAGATGGGTAGGCAGAATTGGCTAAACCAAGGGAGAGTGGGGAAGCAGAAACTACAGCTGGTACATCTTACTCTTCCACCACCCTCCAGCAACTACTATTTGTTTCTGAAAGTCTCAAATCCTTTTACTTAGGCATAGCAACTCACCCAAAATTATACAGCTATTTTTAGCAAAGAGGATATGGGTTTCTATTTCTTCTTTTTTTCTGAATATTCTTCAAAATCCTATAATGGGTCAAGTTGAGTAGCAAATGCTTTTGATTAAGATACTATGATATAACTCTGAGTAGAGATATCAGTATATTTAATGAAAAAAATGGCTTCTGAAACGGTGAGCCAGAGCCCTGAGATTCTTCTTTACCCCATCCTCTTCTATCAGTGCTACTCCATGTTATTTTACATACTGAACTTTAACATACCTCTTTTGAATTGTCAGATGAATTTTAAGGGTCCATCCTGGTAAATATTCTGTAATGCTATGAGTGGATATTTTTATATTGAATACGTTTATATTTAGATTGTCCTTTATTTTCTATAATAGTCTTAGGTTGTCAAAATCCACTCACTTTCCCAGTGAGCACAGCAGTTCACCTACAGCAATAATCTATTCCTTTGTTGTATTTATTTCCCCCCATGGGAACCCAATTCTAGTTTCATCTACAGTGTAAGACTACCTCCTCCACGGCAGTGTTCACAACAGACCATCTAAGTCAGAAACATCCTTGTCTTAGGAATATTCATTTCTGTGTTGAGTCTCCATACCATTACCCGATTCAATCCTACCAACTACTCAGGATTCCAGATGTGACATTTTTCCTGCCTTTATGTATTTTCCTCCAAACAAAACAATAAAATTTTGACCTCTTTCTTAAAAACTGGTGACAACCTGGTCTCTCCCTTAGTCCCTAGTTGTCAGTCATAAATTTTTCATCATTCTCTGGTTTGCCTGACTTGCTTAAAACCCAGACTCCATAATCTAGTTGTAGATCTTAAGCCTCAATGAGATGTTCCTGTCCCAGCCTCCAATGGGCACTTCCAAGCCCTATGGCTGCCCACTTTTGTTTATTTCAAGGTTGGGCATATGTACCTTTGGTCCAAAGGAAGGAGGACCAGGCAATTGGTATAGCCCCAAATCACTGCTCAAGGGATTCCCCTCAGGAATGGAGGTGCTCTGCAACTTCAAATGCCCCCATAGAGCCACTCCTCCTGTGGTTTCTGGCTGAGCTGGGCAGTAAAAACCTTTAGGAAGTAGGAAGGAGACATAAGAAGGAATGGGAAAAAGAGGCAGCGGGATAAATTAGTACTTTCTATACAACTGCACTTATCCCAATTGCTGGCAATTAGCCAGGCACTATTTTCTATTGTTTAGTCATGAACAAGGCACATCATTCTTTTTTTTTTTTTTTTTAAAGATTTTATTTATTTATTTGAGAGAGAGAGAATGAGAGACAGAGAGCATGAGAGGGAGGAGGGTCAGAGGGAG